CTGCAACACCTCGCGCTTTGTTCTGCACCTGGCGCGCAAGGGCTCTCTGGCGGAGGTTAGGGCCGCGCAGTCCAAGGGTCCCGGGGTTTAGGGTTTAGGGTTTAGGGTTTAGGGTTTAGGATTTAGGGCTTAGGGTTTAGGGTCTAGGGCTTAGGGCTTAGGGTTTAGGGTTTAGGGTTTAGGGTTTAGGGTTTAGGGTTCGGGTTTAGAGGTTTAGCTTAGGGCTTCGGGCTTGGGGTCTAGGGTTACAGTGGAAGGGGGGTGGAGTTGGGGGGGATCATACGGGATCCGTTCATTCAGCGAAATCCTAGAAAGCTTCGCTACCCCTAAACCGACCGCAGGCCTACCCCATGAGCACAGCCCTTGGCCCTGAACTTACCCCTGCCGCCCCCGTGCTCGGCACTTGGCTGCACTTAGGAGGGTAGTAAAAAATTAAACTTTTAGCAGCCTCATGAAGAAACCCAATAAGCCCAAAAGGCTAAAGATCTAAAGTTACAGTAGAGCACCACCAAGGGCAGGAGACCCCGGAATCAAATCCGTCGTCCTCCCACAGGGGAAGGGGCTCGCTTGCCAAATCGACGGGCGGCATCACCTTGTCGAGGTTCCGCTTGAGGTGCATGAAGGCCTTGAACCCCGCCGCTTCCAACAAGTGTAGACGGATCTTGTGGAACTTCGCCCCAGGCAGTTTTTGTCCATGGTCGTCTCCCGGTGGTTGGGATCCCGGGCCATTCCACCTCGGAGTCGGCTGATTCGCCTGCTCGCCATGGCTTCATGTGGTAGACCTAAAAACCTGAACCCCGAACCTTAAACCCCAGCCGCGCAAAGCCACCCAAAAACCCCGAACTACCTAACCCCAACCTTAAACTCTACGTCCCAACCCTAAACCCCCCAAAACCCAAAACCCTAAACCCCAAACCCTAAACCCCAAATCCTAAACCCAAAACCCTAAACCCTAAACCCTAAACCCCAAACCACTAAACCCTAAACCCCAAACCCTAAACCCTAAACCCTAAACCCCAAACCCTAAACCCTAAAAGAGTTGGCCCATGCAAGCAGGCCAGCCTGCTCGGCAATCATGCCTCCCGAGTGTGGGGTTTGGGGTTTAGGGTTTAGGGTTTAGGGTTCAGGGTTTGGGGTTTAGGGTTTGGGTTTTTGGGGTTTGCGGTTTGGGTTTTTTGGGGTTTTGGGGTTTGGGCTTTTGGGGTTTGGGGTTTGGGGTTTAGGGTTTGGCTGTTGGGGTTTGGGGTTTGGGGTTTTGCGGTTTGGGGTTTTTGCGGTTTGGGGTTTGGGGTTTTTGGGGTTTTTGGGGTTTTCGGGGTTGGGGGATCCCCAAGGTTTAGGCCTTGCTGGAAGCTCTTGGGGGGGGGGGGCCTTTGGAGGTACAAAGTAATGTTGCACTGCTTTAGCAAAGACACAAGTTTGTCACAAAAATCATTCTGCGAACTCAGCTTGTTGGGGGTCACCCGCTCTAAATAACCATCTTTGCTTCGGGGATTGGGTTGGTTTAGGGTTTGGGGTTTGGGGTTTGGGGTTTGGGGTTTAGGGTGTAGGGTTTAGGGTTTAGGGTTAGGGAAAAGGTTTAGGGTTTAGGGTTTCGGGGCTCAGGGCTAAGGGCCTAGGGCTTCTCTGACTGCTAAGGTGGCTGAGAGCCCGGAGAATCCAGGCAGCTAAGCTTGGCCAGTTCCAGCGAAAAGTCTTGAGGTATTTCATTCCGAAACGAGGCCCCAAACAAATTCGCGATAGGTAGGAACCCTAAACCCTAAACCCCAAACCCCAAACCCCAAACCCCAAACCCTAAACCCTAAACCCTAAACCCTAGACCCTAGACCCTAGACCCTAGACCCTAAACCCAGCCAGAGCCCGGAGAATCCTGGAAGCTAAGCTTGCCCGCAAATGAGACCAAAGGCATTTCGTTTGTAGAGGGTCCCAGATTTGTTTTGGGGAGGGGGAGGTGGGGGGCGTACTCAAAACGGTGCAACAGTAGGCTTAGGGATTAGGTTTCAGGGTTTGGGGCTGTAGGGTTTAGGGTTTAGGGTTTGGGGTGTAGGGTTTGGGGTTTAGGGTTTGGGGTTTGGGGTTTGGGGCTTGGGGTTTGGGGTTTGGGGTTTGGGGCTTGGGGTTTGGGGTTTGGGAGGTCACCAGGCCTACGGCCACGACGATGTCCTTGGCATGGGGTGCCAGAAGGCCCCGGAAGCTGTGAAAGAGCTCACTGAGAACCTTCGCTGCTTCGGGTTCGGGGTTGGGAGTTGGGGGTTTTAGGGTTTAGGGTCTTGCTGTAAAAGGGTTTACAGGGTTTATAGGGTTTATAGGGTTGATAGGGTTCACAGGGTTCATAGGGGTTGAATCGCAGGGCTTTTCAGGCTTGGGGCCTTAGGGTTTTAGGGCTTCAGGGCTTTGAGGGCTGAGGCTTACGACCTTCAAACCTCAGGGCTTTAAGTTTAGGGTTTTTTGTGTTTTTAGGGTGTCTAGGGTTCTTAGGGTTTTTAGGGTTTTTAGGGTTTTAAGGGCTTTTAGGGTTTTTAGGGCTTTAAGGGTTTTAAGGGCTTTTAGGGTTTTTAGGGCTTAGGGTTTAGGGTTTAGGGTTCAGAGGGCTCAGCAGTTGGCTCCAAATGCAAGTTCTAGCATTCGGATTCGGGTTTGAAACTGTTCTTCTCTTTCTCTTCCTGAGAAGGCAATCTTGGTCGGCAATTGGGACCCCGACTCACCTTAAACCCACAACCACCACCCTAAACCCTACTCCCCTGCAATCTTAAAACCCTCGAGGCCCCGAAGCCCTAAACCCGTAACCCTTAAGTCTAAGTCTTAAACCCTAAGTCCCATCTTTCGAAGCCTGAAAGACCCTAAACCAACCCCTAACCCCTAAACCCTGAAACCCTTAAACCCCCAAACCCTTAAACCCCAAACCCTTAAACCCCTAAACCCTAAACCCTAAACCCTAAACCCTAAACCCTAAACCCTAAACCCTAGACCCTGAGCCCTAAGCCCTACACCCTGAAACCTCTCAACCACCGGGCCTGGATTCCCGCGGAGCGCTTGGGCAGGGAGCTGCCCTGGTCCACCAAGGCCTCAAAGTAATGGTTTGGGGGGTTAGGGTTTAGGGTTTAGGGTTTAGGGTTTAGGGTTTAGGGTTTAGGGTTTAGGGTTTAGGGTTTAGGGTTTAGGGTCTAGGGTTTAGGGTTTAGGGTTTAGGGTTTAGGCTTTTGGGGTTCAGGGTTACATCTTGGGATGCTCCCCCTTCTTCTAACAGTCCTTCATAGGGATTCTAGTACCCCCTATCCCTATTCAGGACCGTCAGGAAAAAGGGGGGGAACATCCCAACTTTCGGGCTACATCTAACTAGGATCCCTCTCTCTCTCTCTCTCTCTCTCTCTCTCTCTACGCTCCTCAAAAATATTCAAGTCTGAGGGTTTTGGCTTTGCTGCTTAGGTGCATAGTTGGAGGATCGGGGGCTTAGCAGGTAGAGTTCAGAACCCCCAAAAAAAAACAAAGCGAATAATCCCCAGATTGCCCTTTTAAGGCAGAATATATACTTTCGCATTTTGGGGTTCTTAAACCCTGAACCTTAAACCCAAGACCCTGAACCCGAAGCCCCAAAAGGTCCCTGACTGTGTTTTTCCAGAGGGCTCTAAGGGGGTCTCAGGGCTTTAGGGTTTAGGGTTTAGGGTTTCGGGTTGAGACTTTCAAAGGCGGCTTTCATGCTTTCCCCAAGGACCTGAGCCCAAAACCCTGAACAATGAAATGTAACGCCTTGGCATCTTGAAGTTGTACCCTGGACCCTAGTCCCTAAACCCCAAACCCCGTGCCTTCCTCCCAAACCTGAAGCAAGCAAGCGTTCACAACACTTGGGCATCTAAGGGCCTTGCGGCTAAGGTTTAGGGTTCAGGGTTGTGAAGATCGAGGGTGCATGATCTTTGCGCCAGGGTTGTAGGCACCCTAAACCCTAAACCCTAAACCCTAAACCCTAAACCCTAAACCCTAAACCCTAAACCCCCTTGAGCTCAGTCCTTCGAAATACCACGCAGGGCGACCTGAAACCACGGCACCCCGCCTGAAGCAAAGAGGGGACTCCTTCCAGTAGGCTGTACACAAAAAGGCAGTCCCTGGCCGTGACAGAGTTTAGGCTTTAGGCTTTAGGGTTTAGGGTTTAGTAGGATCAACGTTTAATGTTGACCTAGTAATAATAAACCCCCCCCCTTCAATCAAACCCCCCCAAATAGAGTGAGGCCCCTTTGAATAAGGATTCCTTTCCTTAGAGAGAATTAGAGAGGATCAAAGAGAATCACTCAGGATTCCTTTCCTTAGAGAGAACTAGAGAGGATCAGAGAGAATCAGAGAGGATCAGAAAGGAAAACGGACCCCCCCAAAAAAAAACAAGCCCCGACTGGCGTACTTTATTTCCAGGGCTTTATTATTGCGGCCGGGACACCTGGCGTACTTTAATGTTAGGGGCTTTAGTAATACTGGGTTAGCATTACGGTTTAGGGTTTTGGGGTTTAAGGTTTGGAGATTTCAGGGGCTTAGGGTTCAGATCAACTTGGAGGATCGGGGAACTTAATAAGTAGATCTTTCTCAAGTAGGGTTCATAAGGAGGATAACACAATTCAGGTTCCTTTTTGGGTACTGAGCAAGCCTACCTAACAACTACTTACTAAGAAACCCAACCCTAAAACCGACCCCCACTAAGTCTCACGTACGGTTTTTGACATTTAGGGCTTAAACCCTGAATCCCACACCGTTCAGGACGCCTGCTCGACATGAAGTTTAGGGTTTAGGGTTTCGGGTGCCTATTCTGGGGGCCGTAGCATGGGACTATACTAAACTGGGATGTTCAAAGGGCGCCCTATTGTGCGAAATATGACGGGGGTACCTAAAGTCCTAAGCGTTCGAATCCTGTACCCCCAAACCCTACACACCCTGAAACTACTGAAGGTCGAGTCCTGAAGCCCTAAGCCCTAAGCCGCAAACCCCGAAACCCTAAACCCTAAACCCTAAACCCTATACCCTACAACGCGAAGCCCTCCGCACACGCCGGCGACACCCAAGCATCTCCTCACCCGGGTTTGAAAAGTCCTCTCTTCAGGGTGGGGCGGGGGGGGGTATGGTTGAAGGATTAGGGCTCGCAGGATGGAGGGTTCTGCGGTGTAGCGTTCAAGGTCTAGGGTTTGGGTTTAGGGTTTAAGGTTTAGGGTTTAGGGTTTAGGGTTTGGGGTTTGGGGTTTGGAGTTTGGGGTTTGGGGTTTGGGGTTTTGGAGTTGGGGTTTGGGGTTTAGGGTTTAGGGCTTAGGGTTTAGGGTTTCGGGTCGCAGGGTTTAGGGTTCGGAGTGGAAAAACAAGTCAGAAGACAGGAAAAGTCTAAGCACGACTGGGTTTAGGGTTTGGGGTTTAGGGTTTCGGGTTTAGGGTTTCGGGCTTAGAGGTTCAGAGCTCCATCTGCAACCTGCCTAAAAGGCTGAAAACAGGCTTCCAAGACAAGCTTATGCACTTCCAATGGCTACACCTGATGTGGAGCTGCCATCTAGGGCTTGACGACCTTGACGGGCACAAAAGAAAACAAAGACTGGGGTTTTGTGCTCAAGCAGAACCGAAACATTTGGAACACGCACGCGCACACACACACACACACACACACACAAGAGCGCACCTACGCACTAAAGGACGGTCACATATGGGTAGCTGCTGTTCATTGGCAATCTGGGAAATTGGGAAGGAGGAATGGGAAGAACTAAACATAAAAAACACCATGTTTACAAAAAGGGAGACAAGGACGGAAGGAGAGAGAAAAAACGACCACGAAGGCAATAGCGAAGATGCAGACGAAGACGAACGTGAGACGAAGCCTGGCTTAGAAAAGAACAGCACACGCATGGTGGATACAGGGCAAATGGTCAAAACAAGGCTCGTTCACATGCTACCAAGCTGAGTGCTCCGTTGACTAAGAACCCCTCTTGAATGTTGAAGCAACCCTGAACCTGAAACCCTAAACCCTAACACCTAGACCCTAAACCCTAACCGTTGAGAAACCCATACAAACTTACAACCCTATAAACCCTACAAACCCTGCAAAAACCCATAAACCTCATAAACCCTCCAAACCCCATAAACACTATAAACCCCATAAACCCCATAAACCCTATAAACCCTATCAACCCTGTAAACCCTATAAACCCCTAAACCCTAAGCCCTAAACCCGAAACCCCCTAAACCCGAAACCCTAAATCCTAAACCCTCAACCCTACACCCTAAACTGCCCCCGCCGAGACCTGCATCACTTTGCGGAGGTCGCTGGCCTCGAGTTTTCGCCCCCTCACTGCCATCCGCTCCAGCGTTCAAGCCCTAGGAACCGGAGGCCCTCGTAGGGTGTAAGGTTTAGGCTTTCTTATGAGCTTCGTGGTTTGGGGTTTTGGGGTTCAGGGTTCAGGGTTCAGGGTTTAGGGTTTAGGGTTTAGGGTTTAGGGTTTAGGGTTTAGGGTTTAGGGTTTGGGGTTTGGGGTTTAGGGTTTAGGGTTTAGGGTTTGGGGTTGAAGCTTTAAGGCCTCGGGAACTAGCCCTACCCAAAATCAGGGACGAAACGGCCTGTGATTCAGCCTTCTTGGGCCCTCGGGTGGGGGCAGCAGCATGCCTACCCTCCAACTCCTTCACAAACACCTCACAGCCTGAAGCCTCAACCCTAAATCCCACTTCCCTAAATCCGGAAGCCAAAGAAGTCAATCAGGTTAAGGGTGGAGGGTTTAGGGTGCAGGGCTTTTAAACAATCAAAGGCTATGAAAAATTAAACTCCCAAAGAGGTCGGGTTAATCGAAACTGGTTGGTTCGTGTAGGGCTTAGGCCTACTAGGGGGGCTTAGGGTTGTGGTCAAAACCGAGTCTGCCACCGGCAAGGGGGTGGTGTAGAGGTTTAGGAGCCGGCTCGCAACGGGGGAGATGATGGAACCCGAAACCCCAAACTCTAGACCCTAGACCCTAGACCCTAGACCCTAGACCCTAGGTTTGGGGTTTCGGGTTTGGGGTTTAGGGTTTAGGGTTCAGGGTTCAGGGTTTAGGGTTTAGGGTTTAGGGTTTAGGGTTTAGGGCACGAAACCCGAAGCCCACAGGGCCCCCGACGGGATTGTCCAAACTTCTGATGTGGGCAACCTCGGCACTTCATTGAGGAGTTCGACGCTTCGGGCTTTTGAAGGCACCCCCTAAAATCCTGCAACGCCCAAAATCCTATAACCGTATAGCCCTAAACAAACCGCTAGACCCGAATGCCCCTAAACCCTAAGACCCTAAAACCTTAAACCCTAATACCCTCAACCCTAAACCCTAAGCCCGAAACCCTAAACCCTAAACCCTAGCCCTAAACCCTAAACCCTAGCCCTGAAGTAGGGCTGAAGATTAGAGGGTTGCTGCTGTACTTGTTCGACTTCTCGGACTAGATGGGTTTGGGGCTTTAGGGTTTACAGTTTAGGGTTTAGGGTTTAGGGTTTAGGGCTAGGAACCCAACTAAAAGTTACATCCAGCA